TAAATAGCACTAAATTTCGAGTCATCAATATGCTAAATCCCTCTGTTGATATGTAAACTCCTTTGTCAAGGCACTCTCCTCCTCCCACCCAGCTTAAAATACGCTACCAAACTTGATTAATGTTCATTAGGACGCTGTCTTTCCGACAGCTCTGTTCTTCACCTGAGGACGGCTGCTTGCATTGTGGCCGAAACGTCATGAGAATTTTATTATGTTTAATTTTTTATTTTATTATTTCCCTTCTACATGACTTTACAGAAATAACCAAGACTATATAGCACTAAATTGTTAATTTAACTACTTTAAAGTTGACGGATGTAACAATGGAATAGCGCTGGCTCACCACTGGGCTTATGGCCTGGTTCCTGGGTACTTTTTTTAAAACCTGAACCCCACGGTTTGCGAGCCAAATCCTTCGCAAGTTTTGTACACAGACAGACACACAGACAGACAGACAAAAATGACGTTTATAGGTAAGATGCAGGTGACTTACTGAGCCTTCCTATGCTTTGCACTCCTATCGTTTTTTGTATTTGTTGTAATTTTCTGACCCACCCTATTGGACATCTGTGAAAGAGAGCTTAATAGCTCATTGAATTCTTCCAGGATAAATTAAGATTCTGAATCAAAGCATGTGAATGTAATCGCATGTGTCACAGTGTGCCTAACAGGTACCTGACGTGTGTATCTGTGTAAATAATTTTTAGTTGAATCCTTTTATAACAAGTGCTCCCTACATCAGCTGTCTTACTAGCTAGATCTTTTACACATTGGCTAAACATTGCAATGCACTGCATGTTCTACCATTGAAATTTATATTAGAATACATTACTGTACAATTCACCTCTTCATAGTACATGGTACATTGTGGTCCATATATTTGCAACACATGCAAACTGCAGCGATTCTCTGCTCTGTGAGTTAGATTATGATTCAATTGCTATGTAAGTTCACATTCTCAGTGTACTCTATCTTGTCAGAACATATCCACTCAAAGTGTAATCTCTGCCTGACTTGCATTCCAACCTTCATAGGTTATCCTGACCTAAAACAACTGCAATCTTTGCATTGGGACAATGTCCAGCTTGTCTTCTATGTTTGGACCTGCTTTCAATTATGCAAACAAGATGGCTTAAAATAGGCTGTTTATTTTTGGCCTAGGGCATACTTGCTTTCAGAACTAAATTGCAGTGAATGGCTGTGACTTAGAAAGTTAAAAATAGTTGTCTAATGAGTAAGAGTTGTTTTTGAATAATACATTTGAATGACATACACGAAGAGACATACATTTTATAATTATATTTTTTACTTGAAGTTTTCGTAACTGCAGAAATTCATATTCTTTGGGTCTTTCGGTAAAGTTACATAGTTAGGTTCAAAGAAAATTACAAAAACTACAACTTTTCGATCGCAACACAAGCGGTCGTCATCAGGAAAAGGGGGTTAGCCTCTAAAGGCAGAATGTTTATAAAGGTTTGAAATGGGCATAGCCCAAGTGTCATCAGTATGGGCGGGGCAGCTAATGTTAATGTAAGTGATGGTACTCGTAGAGGGTAACAATTAATTGGTGGAAGCCCACCACCGGGCCCATCACTTCCCACTACTACCATCACCACTAGCAGTAGCCCTTTATTGGTGGAAGCCCACTACCAGTGCCGTCGTGGCCCTCTACGAGTATCATCACCTCTAGCAGCAACCTCCACCGTCAACAGTGTGAGTGGGTAAAGCGAGGTGCAATTATTACTTGGCAGCCCTTTAATTGGTGGAAACCCACCACCAGCACCGTCGTTGCCCTCTACGAGTACCACCACTTACATTAACATTAGCTACCCTGCCCATGCTGATGACATTTGGGCTACGCCCATTTTAAACCTTTATAAACAGTTTGCCTTTAGAGGCTAACCCCCTTTTCCTGATGACGACCGCTTGTGTTGCGATCGAAACGTCGTGTAGTTTTTTGTTATTTTCTTTGAACCTATCTACATGACTTTACCAAAAGACCCAAAGAATAATAATTATTTTTTCAACAATTAAATTGTGGAGTTTGGCTGTATTTCAATATATTACCAGCTGAAGTTAAAGGTATGTCTTTTCAGCTCGCGCTTTCTGTGCGGAGTTTGTATATTGTCCCCCTGTTCTGCTTGGGTTTCCACTGGTATTGGCCGAATGTGCCAATGCTAAAAAAATTCTGCACATTACTCAATTTGGGATTACACATCGCAACACTGCCCTCCTACTGCAGAAACTTGCAGGACCTTCCTGAGACTCAGTGAGGGGTAAACGAGTACAATAACAAAGTAATAACATTCACGTGTGCTTTGTATAACATAATTTAGGGTCAGTTTGACATTTTATGATCATATTATTGCACATATCACCGTAACGTCGACAGTGTCTTGAGATGCAGCTAGATTTAGACCCTTAGTAACTGCAAATTATATTGTAATGTTTGATCCTCACTTTCCTCTACAGAGGTGAGAAAACTAATATTAACAATACTTAAGTTAGGATAACACGCATGTATTAAATTAATTTAAGAATATTACTCAGGGTGTATTGTTTAACTCTAAAGGAACCTAATACACATTGTGTTCAACGACAACTTGAATCGGATTCTGAGATGACCTTATCTTTTTTCACATATGATCGCTTGGCAGAAACATGTAATCACGATAAACTATTGTATTATCGTGTATAAAGTATGCCATACAATATTTTTTGACATAAATTGACCTAGCATACAACGGCAGCTAAATAACCACTTTGTGAATGGAATTGTGACCTTTAATCCTAAAAGTTGAGCAACCTGGGGGTATTATTTAATCCCGACTAAGACAGAGAAAAAGTGTTCACTTCAGGAATGTAATGGTTTGTTGATTCAGAAATTATACTCGAATTTTATGCTAATGCTACAAACATTTATTGATACGTGTTGCACAATTTATATATATATATATTTTTATACCACTATAGATCCCACTCAGTCAAACATTGAACATTAAAAATGTTTCCACCACTTTATATCTTATAGATTTGCACGACTGTTTATTATATAGACACCACTAGAAATATTTTTTATTCACACCACTGTGCATGTTATAGATAATTATCACAGTATAGATGCATCTCCACATTTGAGTCCATAAATGCACTCCACCACAGATTCTATCTCTGCATTCTCAAGGGCAAAAACAAGTGATCTGTTAATTTATTTCATAACCAGAATTGGGACAGATCATAACATTGTGGAAGGAAGAACTTCCTTACTTCCATATTGTAGTATGTATGAATAATTCATCACATTTCAAAGGATATGATAGATTTATGTAAAAAAAAATATATTTTTAAAAGTTGACTTATCTCTAATATATTGATCAGGTTGATGACTGGGCAACATTCTGATCCATGTGCTGTCAGTCCAACCATCTCATCTGAACCTAATTTGTCACAAAAACTATGTTGAATCCGATTGTAATCTAAACTGACAGTGCCCCAAACGTATTTCTCGTAAAAAAAATACAGCTTGGTTAAGAAACAACTGTTTGTCTGACAATTTTCTTCAGAATGATGGCAAAAACAATACTAAACTTTACAATTATTTGAGCATTTACTCAACAAAATATTTGGTGGGAACTGCTCTTTTTCGTCACAAATTAGTAGGTGTTTGATACTGCCTGAGGTTATGCCACCACCTGTATCTATCTTTATTTGTCCTAATCTAACATTTTGGTAGGTGCCAGAAGATACTTGTCTCATGCTCGCTTGTATGTATTTATTTGTGTGTTTAATTAAGAAGTTCATATTGTTAGTCTCTTATGTTTCTGTTGCTGCATTACATTATAGGCCATAGGGTTTCTGCTTAGAAAGTGCAGAATTACCCCACGTGTTATGCACAAATGTTAATTCTATTTGGCTATAGAACACATTCATTGCTTGACTGTGTGTACGTGTTGCTCTGAATGTCCAACTGTTCATCCAATGCCAATGGGGCACTGGTAAAACGACTGCATATATGGAGTGAATTTTCAATAAACAACATAAGAGTGCCTTATTGTTGATTTGACAAAGAGGCACTCAAAAAGGCACCTGCACACGCACGGCAGCGTGAAAGATGCCACTGACCGCATCTCACGAGCACACATGCTGAGCAAGGCGAGGGGTACAGCTTGCGGCTAATGGAGAACAGCAGGGGTGGCTCTCTTACCCTGCTGATATGGAAATGCATGTCAAAAGCCTATATGTGGTGTTTCCTTTTTTTCCCGATCTGTTTTTAGACAGACTGCAAATGTTTTAGAGCCATTCTAGCCAACCACAACATACCTTTTCAAAACGTGTATATATTATAGGCTAGGATAGGTGTGAGTCCTTACTTTTTTCACCTTCGCTTACCTGCACGACTGGCACATAGAGCTTGCCCAAATTCGACACTGCCATCAAATAGAAGCATTGCCTGGTAGGATGGGGATGGTTTAGTTTAATTTGTATGTTTTTGGGTGATTTTGTTTACCTTGCTTGTACTTTGCACTACTTCTATGTTTTTGCTTTGATTTATTTTATAACGTTCTTACCCACCCCTACTGGACATCTGTGGAAAAGAGCTTCATGGCTCATAGAATTCTTCCAGTATAAATACATGTTCTGATTTGAAACCAAAACGTTTATTCAATTAATGGTAAATAATAAAATTGGGTAATATGCGCAATAAAAATAAAAGTATAAGAATCAATATTTTCAATTTCTATATATGTAATGGTTTCGCTTCAAAACAGCATTGACGTTAGGTGCTACCATTCACCCCGATGTAAATAATAAAAACAGTTTAACCGAATCGTGACTCATGGGAAATTATTGACTCATCTTACGTATGAATTTGAGCCAAAAACCTGCGCGACGGTAATATTGGTATGAAAAGATGCATATGGTGATTCTGTCCTCATGTTCAAGGTGTGCATGGTCTGAGTTCACAACCTTGATTTGAAGATGTGCTTTGTGTTGGGCAGTTCCGTGGCGGAGCAGCTGAAGCGTGGAGAGACGGTGCAGGCCGAGGCCTTTGACAGCGTCACCATTTACTTCAGTGACATCGTGGGGTTTACATCTTTATCAGCTGAAAGCACTCCCATGCAGGTTAGTGCTTGGGGGGGCGAAATCTGGACCTGTCAAAGTGGGGAGTCTATGGGGTGACCTGAAATGTATTAGATTGGCGCACAGTACATCAACAGCATTGTGTGCTTAGCAGCCGGTGTGTTAATTTACGACAACCGCGCATCAACATTCATGGGAAATACCTTTTTATAAGACCTTTACAAAACATTACAATGCTGATCTATAGACTGGCAAATGTAATAACTTCTTAAGAACCTGTAGAACGAATGTGGACATGCACATCGAGAGGACTTCAAAGGCAACTGATAACTGGGAAATAGAGTTTTATAAGAATGAAGAGGGTGTTTATGAGGCGAGAGTTATAAGAATAGATGCGATGGGGCAACATACAATGTGCACTGTCACATAGGTTAGAGATAATGTATTGGGTAGACAGTGACAGTGAAAAGCCTGGGTATGTAGTGAAGTGGGAGTCGGCCATACAGATAGTTAGAGGGATTGAGTTCCAGAGGTAGCAGGGCAAGCAGAGGAAAATATTATCTCATTGAGCAGAGGTTCTTTGCGAGTTTTCGATAAAAGACCTTGGCTTCTGTAGTTGATGGCATTAGGAGAAGAGAAGAGTGAGATGAGATGGGAGAGGTAGGCAAGGGTAGGTCCATCCATGGAGGAGCATAAAGAAGGGTTAAAATGATGAATGTGTAGTTGAGCTAAAGAAAGGGTTAAAATTGTGAATGTGTAGTTGAGCTAAAGAAAGGGTTAAAATGGTGAATGTGTAGTTGAGCTAAAGAAGGGTTAAATGGTGAATGTGTAGTTGAGCTAAAGAAGGGTTAAAATGGTGAATGTGTAGTTGAGCTAAAGAAGGGTTAAAATGGTGAATGTGTAGTTGAGCTAAAGAAGGGTTAAAATGGTGAATGTGTAGTTGAGCTAAAGAAAGGTTAAAATGATGAATGTGTAGTTGAGCTAAAGAAGGGTTAAAATGGTGAATGTGTAGTTGAGCTAAAGAAGGGTTAAAATGGTGAATGTGTAGTTGAGCTAAGGAAGGGTTAAAATGGTGAATGTGTAGTTGAGCGAGTACTGTTGGATTGGGAGCCACTCTAGAGATGTTAGGAATGTATTCAGGCATAGAATGAGCAGAATAAAAGTTTTGTTTGGAAAAGTGGAAATATATACATTTTCACATATTTTCTTTTTCTGTGAAAGCAATGCTAGGGATTCAGCAAAAGTTTTCTGATTATTGGGGTCTGATGATAATATTTTCGAGATTATAGTGAAGCTGCAATCATGCAAGTGAGTGCGATGAACAATACCAGAGGCGTTTATAAATGCCTTTATGTAGGAGACCAACAAATTGGGAATCAATGTAGTGGATCAAGGATGAAAGATGATGTTTTTGTTTGAGACAATAGCAGTGGTGTAACTGGAGGTGGACTGACAGCAATGTAAGGTGGGAGAGGTGGTGAGGCAGGAAAAGGGCAGGCAACACAAGAAGGATAATCATGGGCTGAAATGTCAATAATCTTTTTTCTAAACCTTGTCAGAGAAATAACAGGCAAATAGCTGGTGATTGACAGGGTAATTGAGAAAGTATGGTTCTGGGGATGCAGAATTGAGCTTGTGCACATAATACTTGTCAGCCGTGGTGATGCATGGGGGGAGTGTTCCATGAAGAGGGAAGAGAAAAACGTATGATACATTCAAAGACTCGATGCCTTCCTCATAATTATAAGACTCGATGCTTTCCTCATAATTATAAGACTCGGTGCTTTCCTCATAATTATATAACATATTCTTGGTTCTTTCGGTAAAGTCACATAGAAGGGAAACAATAAAATAATAAAAATATAAAACAATAAAATTATCACGACGTTTCGACTACAACACAAGCAATCATCATCAGGTGTGAAACCCACAGCAAGAAATTTTGAAAAAAATGGCGGTTTTTTAACGTTAGCACCACGGAGAGGGATTTGACAGTTTGTTCAGATGGATGAGTCCATCTATGTTCGGAAAAGAGGAGGGGGGAGACGAAAAATAATGGATGCGGTCTGAAAGCCACCTTAAGCGTGATCAATCAATTAAGACCCGAAATGGTTTATCAAATCCTTCCAATGATTGCTAAGCCAGAATCCATCTTCTCGGTTGAAATTGTCTCTGTGTTTGTATATGTAGATAGCCTCATGAACGAATCTTTCATGGTAGCCAGATGGCTTGCAAAGAACCTCTGTCTTGGAGAAGTCAATGTCATGTGAGCCTACTGAATTATAACAGTGATCTGCCACGGCCGAGGTGTTGGTCCTACCGTGTTTAAGGTCTGCTTTGTGTTCACGAATGCAGTCCGAGACATGTCGTTTGGTTGGACTCGTCCATCTGAACAAACTACCAAATCGCTATCTGTGGTGCTAACGTTAAAATAACCGCCACTTTTTTCAAATTTTCTTGTTGTGCTTTTGACACCTGATGATTGCTTGTGTTGCAGTCGAAACGTCGTGAGAATCATATTGTTTTATATTTTTATTATTTTATTGTTTCCCTTCTACGTGGTGACTTTACCGAAAGAACCAAGAATATGAATCCCTGCTGTCACAAAAGCTTTAAATAAAAATTTCAAAACAGTTGACTCAAACATGATGGACCATTGAACACTAAAAGTGAATTGCCTCCAATTACAGATAGTCTGCTATTATCCCAGTACATCTCTAAATAGCATTTGTTTGGAGTCAACTGTCACAAATATGATAATTGTTTTTTTACCCTTTTATCTGGAAACAAAACTGACACCTTTTTTTACTAAGAGTCATGTTTGCATTGCCCACAATACCTGCGGTCGGAATGCAAACAAAAAACATAACTCTGATAATGTATGCACTGTCCTTGAAATTGATTGGTCCACACCCGAGACAGCTTTCCTTAGAGCCTCGTCTCACATCGTGTTGGACCAGATGACGCCAAAAGGCGCACTGGTCCAACACCATGTGAGACCAATCAATTTCAAGGACAGTGCATACATTAGCAGAGTTATGTGTTTTGTTTGTATTCCGACCGCAGGTATTGTGGTCAATGCAAACATGACTCCTTGTAAAAAAAGGTGTCAGTTTTGTTGCCAGATAAACCGGTAAAAAAACAATTATCATATTTTGCTACTGGCAAAGGAGGTTCCAATGGTGTCACAAATATATTTATAATGAATTTCATTGATTAAAATGAAATGTATTTCTTGTAAGGAATTACATTTGTTGGCATGTCCAAAAGTTAGCATAGCGTTTAATCAACCATAAATTAACACAGACAATTAGTTCATAAATATAACAAGACCAAATTTCCAATCGCAATCTGCACACCCTCCCTACTTTAGTTATATGATTTCTGAAACCCAATCCCGATTGACTAATTGGGATCAGATTTCATGATTATATTTATTACACATTGTACTGCAATACCTGTTTTACCTTAAGTGTTAAGGCATTAGCTATTAATTTTAAATATGTTATTTTTATATTCACGATAATGCACCAAACCGTGCGTGTAAGAATCGATAATTTCCTATTCATATATACAGTATTGTACGTGAGCGGTTCCTTGGTTCATGTAAAGTCTGTCGCTACTGTTAACTGTACATACACCGAAGAGGGAGAAACTATATTTGATTCATGGGTAGAATCAGGGAACAGATATGTGACAATGAAATGAATCATGGAGGGAAAATCAAGACCAGGGAAATATTTAGCCACAAGGGGACGTCCATAAATGACGTCACGCACCTGGGGGGGAGGAGGGGTCAGACATTTGTGACGATGTGTGACGAGGGGGGGGGGGGGGTTAAGAAATGTGACGTCACCTCAAAATGCGCAACTTTAAACAAATATAGACAACACGTTCTACTTAATTAAATAGACTTTTTAGTAAATATTTTCTCCTACAACATCAGAGTGCAGCACCACATGAAATACGCACTACAATGACAATAGTTTAAAGCGATTTGAAGCATGTTTTATATATTTTTTTTGGGGGGGGGCGGAGCTTTGTGACGTCATATTTGAGGGGGGGTCTGACTTTTTGTGACGCCGAGTGACGAGCGAGGGGGGAGGGTCAAAATTCGTCCAAAATCACGTGACGTCATTTATGGACGGCCCCCAAGCAATTAACCACGATAAGTGCTGATGCTCACAATACATGCATCGATTCATAAGAAATGACTTCTATTTTTTACTTGTTTATAGTTTTTTTTATATTACTTTAGATTCTCATCATTATCAATCATCACTATCAGCCATGGGGAATCCACTGGTAGATGAAGGCCTCCCCAATTAGCCACCACCTTTCACGGTCCTGCGATGTAATAATCTACCAATCACCTGTACACAAACTGACCGAGCGATGAATTGTACCCCATGCTCCTTCACCTACCCACCCAATGCTGTGGCTGGTGGAGGCAGAGATTCTGGCAGTGGGGGGGAGTGGGGGTTCAACAACTTCACCACGCTGGTCAGATCAGATTGGTGAAGGGAAAATATTATGTTGCGCCCTTTTGCCGAGTACCTGATTGGTACAGGTGCCTCTGTCCAGCAGAGCTAGTCAGGTCTCCAAGGCAATCAAGTCTCTTCACCGCAGCAAGAGTGCTCTGTTGAAGTGGCAATATATCCACAAGACTAAATTATCCTATAGATTCAAAACAACTGTGATATATAATCCAGAGTGCTGTGAATCTACAGCTTGTATAGGTTACAACTCGTTATGCACTGGTGTGGTGCATTCTGTGTAATTGGTGAATAAACAGATCCATCACCGTTCTGTATTTCCACCCAAAATAATATGCTGTCTAGTCTATTGGCCTCTTGGTCTGTAGACGAAATTAATGACTTATGTTAACCAGCAGCATTTGTTTCAGTAAAAAAGTGCTCTTACTAATCACGTCTGGTAAACTAGCCTTACTCTCTGGTTCTTTCGGCAAAGTCACGTAGTTAGATCTACATAACTTTACCTAAAGAACCAGACTAAACTAGCCTTATTTATTTAACAAGTCT